GTTTCCACAGCCATGCAAAGATTCTTCTCATCAGAATGAAGAACAAAACTGAGTGACGTTACTAGCTAGTGTACTAAATACGTATGATATTTTTCAAAACCGTAAGATTGTATAGTAGGATATATACATGATGAACAGAGAGGATGGGAATAATAAGCACAAAAGTTGTAGCTAAGAGAAGCAAAGGGAATATGGTACAAATCAGTGAACCTGATAGTACACAATTAATGACCCCAAAGAAACAATTCACGGTTCAAAAAATGAAACCAAACTTTTTTGCAGTTTGGCAGCAAGAATGTCAGAAGGAGGCCAAGAACCTGACATCATAATTTAAGAGGGGAGAATAGTGGGTTCATTTTTTGAATCCCAAGAAAACAAACTCTCATTATCCTTCCTGTCTCATCCTACCTAGAAAGTGACACATCAACCCTAATTTTACGTGCAGGTAATGATCATTTATATTCACTGCCTCGGTGTTTCATGTAACTTTTTTTTTTTATTGCATTTTTTATTTCCTTCCTTCCCTCCCATTTTTTCATTTCTTATGGACCATGCTGAGTCGCTGACATTGATAAGTTTTCACTATATATATATATTAACTCCCACTTCACATGGCACTATTCAAGCTGAGTTGAAATCTGAAACCCTCCCTCTCAGCTCAACTTCCTCAACCAGTCTCTGGGTTTTCACCCTTTCCTGTTGGCTGCAGAAAAATGACTTCAGTGCTCTTTGTCATGGCTCCTCAAGGTGAAGGTTACAAAATTCAGAAAGAAATGGAAATGTGGTAGTTGTTATGGCGATATCTCTCCTGAGCTTATTCTTCTTATATTTTTATTTTCTTTTTTACAACTTTATGAATAATGTTCAAGTTTTCTTGACCTTGCAAGTCCAATAATTTAATAAATTAGGTCAAGATTACTTGTTAATTTTTAAGAAGGCAAAGTGTATAATAATTTTATTAGACTTCTAAGGAAGTTGAGTTTCGGGTGTTATCCTTCCCTATATTTTTCTATGTATCCTCTTTGTATTTGTAATATTTACTTACAACAACTGTATAATGTATTTATTATTTCAAAGCTTGAATATAAGGAAGGTTTTAATTATATGTCTTATATATTTGTTTCTTTGAGTAGCTTTGACTCAGATCCCCTCATTTTTTACCTCATTAAGTTTTCTCCTCAACTCTGATTGAGATGTAGTGGATGCAATTAGAAGAGGAATGTTTGCCATCCTTCGTTGTGGAACTACCTGAACTTTGTTGTTCTCACTGGTTTCGATTCTACGTGACATGGTGCGACTGTTGTTATATTATAGTTAATACCAAGGGCACAGGGAAGGTGATTTAGCCCACAAAGAAGAGAGAGAATCGAATTTTTAGAGGAGAAAGAAAAAGAAGAATACTTCATAAAAAGAAAGAGGAGTTTTTTTTTTTTGTTTTTTTTTTTTTTTAAAAAGAACAATTTTAACTTATAGTTCAATCAATTGACACGGCCTACTTTTTCAGGACTGCAGGTGTAATGCCGAATATTAACTTAACATATACGTTGAAATGTTGAATTAAATCTTGACTCGAGTGATCATACTTGATTGAACTTTCTCGACTATATATTCCATCCCTTTGTTCTTTTGGTAGAATATCTTCCATTCCGATCCATTACTTTAAATCTCTTTAAATAAAGAGGAAAAGAAAAAGTTCCTGTATATTAAATTTTTATTAAAGGAATGCTCCAAGGAATGTTCCCTGGAAGAAGATTTGGGACTGGAAGGGTCCAGAAAGAATCAAGACTATGATGTGGTTGGCTTTTCTTAATAAGCTTCCAGTTAGGAGTCGTACATGCAAATGGAATGGGGGTCCTAATTTTTGCATTAACTGTCCAAACAGTGAAGAAACTCTTATTCATGTCCTTAGAGATTGTTCTCAAGCCAAAAGATTGTGGATAGATTGGTTTGGTAGAAGGGTCCCCAACGATTTCTTCACATTAGACCTACAGCCTTGGCTCATAAAAAATGTGAGTAAGGGTTGGAATTATCAAATTCATGTTGATTGGAGAGATGTTTTCTATACTACTTGCTGGAATCTTTGGAATTGGCGTAATCATCATATTCATGATGATAGTTTCCGAAGGCCAAGCAATGATAAACGTGTCATTTCTGATTTTATTGCGCATTTAATTGAAGCTAGAGGTAAGAATAGAAGCATTCTTGGCAGCTTCCCTAATGCCCATCAGCCTACTAAATAGTGTCGTCTTGAACCTGGTCGGTTGAAGATTAACACAGATGGTGCTTCTTCCTTATCTAGGCAGCATGCTAGCTGTGGAGGCCTTGCTAGAGATCACAATGGTGCTTTTCTGGGTAGTTTCTCTTTCAGATTAGGTTTCTGTAATCCTCTTGATGCAGAACTCTGGGGTATCCTCAAAGGCTTAGAGCTGGCCTGGGGTACTGGTGCTAGGAGAGTGGAGTTGGAATGTGACTCAGAAATTGCTCTTAGCACTATCCAAGAAGGGAGCAACAATCACAGAAACTCTCAGGTTGTTTCCCGTATTCACAAATGGCTTGCTGAAGATTGGGATGTTCGTTGGGTACACACCTTTCGAGAAAATAACAGATGTGCTCACTGGTTTGCTTCTAGGCATTTTGAGGATGATAATAATCTTATTGTTTATCATTCTCCTCCTTCTCCTTTGTTAGAGCTCATTCTTCAGGATGCTTCTGTATATCTTTTAAGTTCTCGCGTCGTGTAATTTTTGTTTTGTTTGGGGCTTTTGCCCCTCTTTATTACAAAAAAAATAAAAATAAAAATAAAAATTTATTAAAGTGAATAAATACTGATATATTTATCTTCAAATTTAAATGAAATATAAACAGTCCTATCTAATTATCTGTGGTGTGTTCTACAACTACATTTTGGATATTGCGTTTTATGCGAGTTTTAATGGTTAGTGTGCGACTCTGTAAAACAAACGCTTTTAGAATTTGTCGCTACATATATCAGTAAAAGACATTGAAGTTTTAATGGTTATTTGCAACACTCACATGCTTTTCACGGTATAATTCCTGAAAAGCATGTGTCAGCTGAAGATAATTTTTCTCCAACAACAGTAAATTAATAGAATCCTTAAATCAAATATCTACTGAGAATATTAAAATACCTGATGATTACCAAACAATTTTTTTTTTTTTTTTTTTGATAACAACCAAACAAATTTTAGGATTATATGCTTTATGAAACAAGGTCAAGTGAATACTTACAGCAATAAACGAAAGGAATATTAATTGTTTATATCAAAATGATTAGTTTGAAATTTAAATTTCTTTGTAGTATGTACACATAACACATGAACTCGGTATGGATTTAGACAAGGCCAAATATCTGCCCTAATGCTTATGTAGTAAAAGTTCTTCATTTGATTTGTTTTTAAAATCAGTTAGTAAAAATATGTTTAGTTTTAGGGTTGACTTTTTCTACGGTCAATGTAAACAACTTATCTACAGTGAATCCAAAACGACGTCGTTTTGAAGCAGAAATCAAAGTATTTTTGTAATTATAATTTATTTCAGGATTATAATAGTCTTTTTATTATAATTTTTTAATTTTTCAACCCAAAACGATGTCATTTTGAGAGCGAATGTAGATAACTTATCTACGTTCACCTTAGAAGCATTAAAGCCTTAGTTTTAAGAGTTTAAAGTTTCTAGAGTTGTTATCAAAAAAAAAAAAAAAAAAAAGTTTCTAGAGTTACTTTATTTTGATTTCTGAAGGTATCCTCCGGCCGACAGCCGAAGACTAATCATTTCAAAGCGGGAGATCACATTAAGTGGGTAAACCTCTCCCAACAAAGCATTTTTCATACGCACGGCCAGAAATCGAACACCAACTATCTACCAACTGTGCTGGACTTTGTTGGTTTCTAGAGTTACTTTAGATAACTTTATCTAATGTTCACCAAAATACACAGAAAAAAATAGATAAGACCTATGTTTGCCCATGTGAAGAGAAGAGAAAGAAAAAAAAAACATATACCCCACACATTTTTTTGTGTGTATTTTTGTGAATATTAAATAAAATTATCTAAAATAACTTTAGAATCTTTAAACTCTAGTTTTAAATCTGAATAATTTAAAATTATATTTTAAATTAAATTAAGAAATGTAAACATATCAATTTTGAACCCCGCGAGATGAGAAAGAAAATAATTGTAATTTGAGACAAAAACGAGAACTCAGGGACGTTGTTCCATGAAGAAATGGCGAACTCAGAGAATTACAACGGAGATTAAATTTTCAATAGTTTTGTAATATTCCTCAATTAATTTTTTATTTTTTTTGGTACAAGTATTCCTCAACTAAAATTAGAAATAAGTAAACTGTGACGTTAAAAATAAAATAAATGTAGTTAAATAAGTAATGGTTTTCTAATTTTAATGAATGTATTAACATACTCAATAGTGCAAAACACTGAAAATTTAACGATTATATTGTCAAATATAGAATCCCTTATGACCCATCATCTTTGTCCTCTAAAGAGTTTCAGATTTATTTTCGAAAAAAGCTTCTTGCTCGTACACCACGTTGCATATCAGTGTACGGAAATAACATAAAACCAACCGGAAAAAATGTTTATTCTTTTAAATGACACAACTTATATCTTTTCACTCTCACAAAGAGGTGGGACCCACACCTTTATAGCTTTTTATTCACTCTCTCTCCTCCTTTATCTATCTCTTTCTCTCACTTAAAATGACACAATTTTACGTCCTTTAAAATAATACACATTTTTCCCAATCCATAATCATATAATAGAAACAGTGCATGAGTCAAATAATATTTGATTAAACGCATACAAGCAAATTATTCTCTTTATTTCCTCCTAGCACTTATGTGATGGCAATCAAGGGGCAATAACATCTTAATGTTTGCTTAAATTATTATTTTCCAAATAACTTGGAATTAAAATCATACATAAATAATCAAGTCCAATCACGGACCTATTCTCAACCAGAAGCACGAGGGCATTATATTTAACTATTTAAGTTAGCAATAGCTACCAAAAAAGGTCAACAAAATTAGACACTTGCAGTCGCAATAGCCAGTGCTTCCTTTGAAGTGACAATTGAAAGCCTAACCTCATACAATAGTGCTCTCGAAGGACATTAACTTCAAAGTGATAACCAATTAAGGACTTCGACTTCAAGAATTATTAATTAAAAACCTTTCTTCGACAATCAATTAAGGACCTCAATTTTAATTATAAATTATCTTTATAACATCTATCAATTAAAAAGGAAAATCTGTCATATACACCATAGGTTTTGATCAAGTTATTAATTGTTACCATATGCCAAAATAGACTTTTTTTTCTTTTTAATATTTTTATTGATAATATTTTTTTGAGTAAAGTCTTTTTTGAGTCTCTAACAAAAAATACAATTTTCACTTTAGTCCCTTACAAAAAAGTACTCATATTAATCATTTTTTAGGGATTAAATTGAATCTTCATTGAATTTCTGAAGGACTATATTTTCAAAGAACTGAAATTATATAGAGACCAAAAGTTGACTTTTATTTTATAAGGGATGAAAGTGGGAATCATATTTTTTGTTAGAGACCCAAAAAAGACTTTACTCTTCTTCTTTTTTAATAAGTGGAGGTCCTTAATTGGTAAAAATTAGAGTCCAGTCCCTTAATTGATTTATCATAAAAAAGTTTACGTCCTCAATTAATTCTTCACTACATTAAGATCTCTAAAACCTACCATATGGCATATACACTTAAATACTATGTACAATTAAGAAATGGTAGAATCGATAGCAAAGAAAAAGATAATACCAAGTCAACAATCTCTTCATTTTTGGGTTATATTCAAGTTGCAAGCACCAGCACTTTGATGGTGCCTTGACTATTTGCAGTTAGTATAGTGGGGCGATCACTCTTCCAGCATACAGCGCTGATGAAGTAAGATCCCTCATCCTCACCATCATCCATATCAGGGGAACCAAATCCATGCCAAGTCACAGGCTTTGAGATTTCCTACAAAGGGAGATGGAAAATTCATTTCTTTATCTACAAGGCAAATGCGAGGGAAAGTGTCCACATAATTGAACATCACAAACCTTGTGGTAGACAAATACTTCGTTTGTTTCACTCCCACATGCAATGAATTCATTACTTACTGTAAGGCCAACAAAGTTTTTCTCGTTTGTGTGTCCTCTGAAAGTACGAACCTGTACACATTTGAAAGGAAATGTAAAAATAAATAATATTTCAACATGTTTATTGTTTCAAAAAGAAAAGAAAAAATCCAATTTGAATGTTTTAAAAGGTTTTAGACAGCTTTAATCCGTTTTACAGAATTCAAAACCAATTTTATAGTCCATTTTAAATGTGTTTGAAAATCAATTTTGACCAGTTTCAGCCAAAAAAATTAATAAAAAAGAAAGTGATACCAATAAGTGTACTGTAAAGAAATAAGCATTTGATATGTATGATGGCACATAACTTCTAGCAGGCATACTGGTTATAGAAAAATTAAGCAACAAAAGTCAACAGGATTCCACAAATTAAATGCAGAATGAAGGATGAATGTGACGATAATCAATCAAAAGCAAGAAACTATTTTGCTTAGAATACTCACTGCTAAGTTTTCCTTCACATCCCATAGTCGCAGTGTACTATCTGTTGACGCAGATGCAAGTTCATCTGTAGACAAAAATTTCACGTACGAAACAGCCTTCCTGTGCCCACTGAAAACATGGACTGGACGACTAATATTTCTCAAATCATAATAATGGATGTGATGGTCTGCTGACCCAACCTGTAAAAATATGTGAAGATTGTACTGTATAAGATTATTAAGTTTAAAACAGAAAAGGAAGATAAGTAGACTTGTCACTATTACAGTAAAGGAGCGGGGTCATATTTTAAATTTGATAACCGCAGGCAATTATTGTTGATAGATTTGCATACATGCAGCTACTTCTCTAATGTTTACTAAAAGCGAAATCCTAATCCGCACGCATCAAGAGTCCATATAGGGGCAGACAAGAAACCCAATCATGAGTATATTTAAGACCATTCATATTAATACAATTAACACAAGCTATTACAAAAGAGTGACAGCCACATTTATTCTGTGGTAAAAGAAAAGAACTGTTTCTCTAGGAAATATTATAATAATGTAATATAAAGTATATTGCTTTGAAAAGCCAGGCAAAGTCACGAGTTTGCAGCTGAATGATAAATTACAAGATAATATACATGGATGGGATCAAATCTAAAGTGAACTAAATCGAGATATTCTCTTCTAACCGAATGAAAGGTACATACTGCAATATAATTGCCCGATCCAGGATTATACTTGACACAACATATGTTTGCTTTCATGTCTATATTTAGGACACTGGCCTCCTGCTTTGTGCACCAAACTTTGACCTGCTCAAAGAAAAAACAGAAATTACAGAGTTTAATCACTCTCAATCATACAATTGAATTGATAGTGGTAAAAACAAAATTTATAAAAGTTTACTATTTGATTACTTATCTACCTTGCAATTTCATCTGGCAGGAAATGCTACATTATCTTTATTAAACATAAATATGAAGTAACAAAATAATATATTTGATGGGACCAGAAGAATGAAAAGAAAATATGTATAGTGTACATTCGGAAAAGGAAAGAGAAGACAAGGAAAACAAGGCAAAGCAGTTAGAGCAGTTACAGAATTGGATAGGTAGTTAAAGTGGTTAAGTGCAAGGGCTTAGCAAAAATACTAGTTCAGATTGTAAGATTAGGGGAATCAAGCAAGTGGCCAGGTAGTAAAAATGGAAACCCTTTGTTGAAGGGGAATTCCTTGGAAGGAGAATTCTCTCCTTTGATCTTTCTTTGTGATTCAATAAACCATTAGAGAATTGGTCATTCTCTTTCGCTCTTCTCAATCTCTCATTTCTCTTCCTAAGATTTAAGAATTTTAACATGGGCCTGTGTAACAATATTCCATTTTGCTATCACTAAAATCCCTTAATTATACAATAAAAATAAGTTTATCTAACACATTAATATTCAGAAACATATGTTTTGATGTTCATTGCAAAAATATCAGAAATTACTGACGCATTCCAGGGAAATTGGCATAAGAACTTTCAAATAAATGTTCAAGATTACCTTACAGTCATCACTACCAGAAACAAGCATAGAGGGATCAGTTCTTGAAAAATCAACACTCCATGCACGTTTTTCATGCTCTTCATATTCCATTAAACTCTGCCAAAGGGAAATGATAGTCATGAGTAACAAAAACTTAAATATTTAAGCAAGCGTATAACAATAAAGACAATATTAATGAATTAAGATACCAAATAGCTGATAAAAGAACAAACTGTCCATTTGAATTCAATAATTACCTTCCGAGTGGTTACATCCCAAACGGTCACAATTCCTTCATAATCACTACTAGCAATTTGGTTCTTAGAAAATTTATTCCAACTCAAGCAACTAAGTTTTGAACGTGTAGACATTTCCACAACAGGACAATGCGCATCTGCAGGTTCATTCACAACCTGGAAAGCAACAACATAGGGAATGGTTATTTTTGTATTCATAATCTCTTGGATCAAGCAACATTACAAGAGTGAACCCCCTCACGTTAATTTTAATATCAAATGTGCCTTGCCTAGGTTTAGGTACTACAACCTCTCAAACACCATAATATATGTAGCGCTACAGATTGCTCACTCTGGTTATATAGGTGTACATGCACTGAGTTAAAATACAAAACAATTTCAACCAGAAATGCTTTAAATCAAATTAATTCCAAGGAGATAACAATAAACCAAATATTACATGCTTTTACTTTATTAATAAAGCATGTCAATGTCCTTATTTTTTTCAATTTTATCATATTATTCATATGTCACTTGAAGGGTTACTAATGTTGTTCCATCAAATGTTGATAATTGCTCTTCTCCCGTGAATCAGTTTTGGTAGTAGAATTAAAGAAGATAAATTGGTCAACTTGCTATGAAAGTAATAGCACAAGTAAAACTTTTTATTCATAATTCATAGAAGTGATATTTTATGCCAAGATCTATGAGCAGTCCCTACTGCCAGGGAAAAGCTGAAGCATTCATTAACGGAATGTATATAAGAACAACTTTACAAAGGGTTACTAACCAATCAAAAGAAATAAAAAGGATAGCAAAAATAAAAGTGAAAGGCCATCCATCTTACCGCAGAAAAGTCAAAAACTTTAATGCGCCGGGAAACTCCGGCAGTAGCAAACAAATCATCATCGCGGTCAAACTCTATGCTGCAATATACATGGTATATCCATGCATTCAGTAAATAAAGTATACATAGATAATATAAATACGTAAGTACGAATATAAATGTGACATGACCACTTCATTTCACTGAAGCAGTTTATTATGTCTAAGTCCTTCATATTAAGATAGCAATGGGAACAAGAGAAAGTATATCCGATTATAAAATAAAAACCTACTTGTTTGTCGTAGTACCTAACATTCTTATTTCCACATAATCTATCTTCAGCATGAATTGTAAACATATATGAAGAGGGAGTTTAGTACCAGCATAACCAATTTCATATGTACTGGCGGATCAAGACCTTAAATTTGATAATAAAAAATATGGTAACAAGGCCATTACACAATAAATTTTACATTGAAGACTTGAACAACAAAGTACATGAACCAAACTAAATCTTAAATATTGCACCATAAGAAGATAAGGATACTGAATATAAAATAATTATAATTTTATATCCTTTTTGCTCATGGTCGGAGAGCCTTGTGCACGGGGGTTTGCTCTTTATCCTTTCTGCTCATGGAAGTAGCAAACCCCTTTGCTTCAACTGTTCAGCTAACACTTTAACTGTTCAGCTAACACTCCTTCAGACACACAGTTCATCAATGGAATAACTTCTAGTACACCAGCAACTCATAGTGGGGATTTCAGTGTACTGGTCTTCAAGAGAATTTGCATAAATAGCTTATGGATTGAGAGACATTTCAGCTAAATAAGGACCTTACGAACAATGGATAGTTTTCAGGTCAGAAAAATTATCATTCAAATTGAACCTGGAGATGGGAATTTCAGTGGAAAAGCGAAGGAGATGAAATTATAAAATGTTTGACTGTTGTTTGACCAGAGCATAGACAAGGCAAGGGGATTCATAAAGTCAGCAATGTCTTAAAAGGCATCAACTTAAGCTGGCATGGCTCACTTTTTCGGTCATATAGATCATGAAGTTAAGAGCCACAAAATATCTTAATTAAGAAAAGTGCCTACAAAAAACAAGGCCATTGTCAAATTAATTGGCTAAAAAGAAAAAGTATAAAAAAGCAAAAACTGGAAGCTAAGCCTCTGAGTAGACTCCTACAGTACTTCTAACACGTCCAACATACCTATTACATGATGATGTAAGATCCTTATTACCCTTCCACAAATACATGATATAGCGTATGAGCTCAGTGGTGACAAGAAAAGGGGTTTACTAATCTTAACAAAGATCAATGATGATGAAGAACATTGACTTTTCAAGTTAAATGAATGCTTGGAGCAGTGATGAAAAACATTAACCATTCAAGTTAACAACAGCCATATGTATAAATATATGTCAAAATCTCTTTGCATCCAATACTTACCAATATTCAAAAAAAAAAAAAAATATATTTCATGCCGGCAATTAGAATCAAATTGATATTGTGCTTCTGATTACACACATCATTATAATATTATGGAGAAACCATATATAAAAGACAAAATTAAGAAAGCAACCATTGTTGACCCATGATGAGGCTTCAATGTCAACAATGCTGCTGAGATATAACGCAATAGATGAATACCAAAAGTTCTATCAGCAATTTCAAAAAGAACAACTCACCTTGACACTATGTTAGCTGAATGAAATATATCCCCATGCCTTAGTTCTGCAATGGGCCTCAATCGACTGTTTCAAATGAAGCAAAAAGGTTAAAGATAACTGTGCATTGCTGACTCAAGAAAATAGTAATTGACATTAATACCAGCATCTCTGAATTGAGAAAAGGACTGAGAGCAATACCTGTAGCGTGTAAAAGTTGTCAAGACTGACTGAAAATCTTCAAGACCAGAACTGTAACCTTCTCGACTAATGAGATTTGTATCTCTTTCTTGTTGGCTATGGGACTTATCTGCTGCATGTCGTCGCTTTTGAAGGTAACATTCTTGTAGATCATTGAACTGGAGTAAGGGAAGGCAATCAAACAGGATCCGGAGAGCAAAAAATAAAACCATAGAAATAATAGAGGGCAGCAAATAACATAAATTCTTCAAAAAATCCATGCCATAAGTTACAAGACAATAAATAAAACACAAGGAAACATTAAAAAATACTCTAATTTTGATACAAGTCTTGCCTTTCATAAGCAATATGGTGACTGCAACTCTGCTAAGTGAAGCTTTCTGTTACGACCCCTAATAATAAATGTGATGAGTCAGCAGTGGTAGGATAAATTGGTTAGAGTGGTCACGTGGACAGCAAGGGGTTTGTTTCAAGTCTGTTACAAATAGGTGGAGGAGGAGGGGAGAGGATCATCTTTGAACTTGGAGCTTTTGAGCACCTCTTGGGTGATTTGGGAGAGACTAGAGCCTCTCGAATACTCTAGAACTATCAATGTTATCATCTCTTTTCCATTTCTGTAATTGTCTCTTCCTTACTGTTATTGTAATTTTCCAAGCATTATGTTCTCTCTGTTATTGTAATAGCTTCACTGAACTTGTATCGTTTGGTTCATATCAATATATTGTTTCTGGAATTATATTGTTGATCCTTATCACTTTCTTTAATTGCATTTTTGGTTTCTGGTTATTTTAGCAGTTTCTATGATTGATAAGACATTGTAATTGGGCTTCAATTGTAACTTTGGGTCTAAGGAAATTTTATAATGATATTTGGTTCTTAATTTTTATTTTAGAGGCCAAAACATAGCCTGTGAGGGTTTTGATGTAGACACAACAGCCTTAATGTATTATATACCCTAGTTCTGTAAATGTAATGCATGACTTAAGGTTAATCAGAATTTCATAAGACACAGCTTGTTTCTGACACTGATGCAATTCCATCTTAAAGCATGATTCCTAGATCTTATCTTTCTTATCGTTTATTTTTCTTTTCTTTAAACTTCGAAATATCATCCAGATCTGTTTCCTGGCTGGACTCCTCAATATACCACTACTTACACAACAATTATCATATTTTTCCTTGCCTTCTTCAGATAATGTTACTATCCACAGACATAGGTCACATGAGCCCCATATTGGTATTTGTTTGCCGTCCTTTTGTATACAAGCCATCCCTAGTCCCTACCCTAACATGCCATTAAAGCTTTTAATTTGAAACTAAGATTTTCAAACTTTTCTCATTGTCCACTAACTCATATTTTAGCCATGTCACGTCCTAAATTTGCTGCTGTATTTATAAGTTCTATAAAAGGAAACATCTTGGCAGTTGAATCTCATTGCATATTTGTTTCAGCTCATTTCAGGGAAAATAAAAAAATTTCCCTCAAAAGCTGTGTCAGGAATATGCCCAAAAAACAATATAATCCAAATACACGCTAAGTCTGTCTTAAGATGTGCTACAGCTATGTCAATCTTGAAGCTTGTGACAACATAAAAATGACCACAACACAAAAAGTATTTTAGCTAAAAATGTGTTGAGTTAACCAGTAATATTTTAGGTAGCATTGAGTGAAGATATGAATGGGATTTATTTATGAAAAAAGTCCAGAACTACTTTTGATGTTATGAAGAAGGACTTTTCAGAAAAATAATGTAAATAAATAAATAAATTTCAAATTTTAGAAAACTCAGAAAATAAAATTTCTAACTTCTCCAAAATTTCTTTGCTTTTCTTGTCATGAATAAAACTTCTTCGCTGGCAAAAAGCTTTCACAGACAGACACTAAAGCTTTCAAAAAGCACATAGCAATAAACATGAAATAAAAAAGTTCAGGCACACAAAATTAACCCAGAAAAACCTGTGTATGCACTCTCTTCTTTCTAACTAGAGCAAGACCCGATTGATTTATATATTGTGAATCTGATCCACTGATGGTCTCTTTTCTCTGGACTCCATGCACAAGAGAGCTGATTTGGGATTTTCCATCTTTTTTCTTATTAAGGCTCCCTGATGACAACCCTCCCCGAGGATTTAGAGGACCAGATATCAGGCCACTGCTTTTCTTGTCCATTGATGAATGCCATGATTTTCTTCCACCAGAATCATCAAGCATCCGCAATTTCACAGAGTACCTGTCACGTGCATGATACAAGTCCATTCTATGTTTCTCCACAGCACTAATGTCCTCTTTTATAAACTGGAGATCAGTTTGCACCTACATGCGATTGATTGCGATAAGTAGGAATAAATGTAAAAAAAGAAAAATGTCTAAGTAGTACAGTAAAGACCAACTAATGCAAACAGAGGAAAGAAAAAAGTGGAAACATTAATTACTTGGTAATAACTTAGTCAAAAGAAAAAAAATAAAAGATATAGATTGCAGCCAGCACACCTCCTTCAATTCATCAACCTTTTGCTTGCGTAAGCAATGCAAGAAGTCTAACAATATTTGCATATTTCTCTCAGCTTCTTCTTGTTCCATTTTTCTTTTCTTTTCAGCAAGGACTGACAAAAGGGTGTCTAGATCCTTAATTGTCACTTCACAGCCCTGCTCCAAGATTCAATAGATAAAAATAAAATAAAATGAAAAAGGAATTTAAAACAGATCCACAAATTCATGTCAAAGAGAAATATGTAGCAATAGAGTGATCATAAGTATACTAAGTCGTATAAATTCCACTAAAGCTAATAAACAAGTGAGTCTACAACTTAATTAAAACCCTTCCATACGATATATTAGAAAATACAATCTGACAAGAGTTAAAACTAATATTTTTGGTCCTTGATCTAGTTGCATATATAATAAATAAAAGAGAATTATATAACATGATGAATCTTAAACCAGCTCTAGTTGTCCTCTACTACTCTTCCATCTGCTGCTATGTTATCTGATTACGACATGCTGAAAACTGGCTCCAATAAACTGAAAAAAAATTGGTGTAGATTCTGAAAGTACAGAAACAGCCAAGCTAGAGAGATGCAGAGAATTGGACACCAAATGATTGGTAATCAATGATTCTACTCATATCTACTTTTAAAGGAAACTGACACTGCAAGCACTACAGTTTTCCCCTAGCGCCCTTCCACTTTAAAGGCCAAGAATTGGGGGATTATATTCTGCACAGTGGAATTTTCTGGAACTTGGAAACTTCTTTGTAGAGTTATATTAATAATTTAATAAACATGAAAAGCAAGAAGAATAACCTATAATTGCAACAAAGACCTCTTACTGTTGCACAATTAGCATGGTTGGAAATGGAAGCGCCATAATAAAATGTACCAAGTGTGCATGAATCTTCATTACCGTGGCATAACAGCTAGATGCCATATATCCTCATCAAAGTCACAAAATTAAATATTCATTTGAAGCAAAGCTAGAAGCAATAATGAATTACTACGTTTAAGACAATTAACAAAATAAAACAAATCAACTATAACAAAGGTACTAATCAAGAAAAGTGGCGAGAGTACACCCAACCTTTTGTAATGCCTGCCGGAAATGTTCCACTGGGGAGGCAGTTTTTGACATTTGACGAGCAGATGTCTTTTTTAGTAGCTACAAATGTGGTACAGAAACCGTATAACAATAAGCTGCATTTCGAAGTAGATCAAATTCAAGATAAAAATTATGCTCCAATCAGATACTCAAACTTTCACACATGAAATAACTAATAACAAATATGACATTAAGTAAGCAACATTACAAGGAGCGATATCGAATGCACAAAAAAATAAAATAAAATCTAACAACTCGTATCAGCATTAGCTGGATGCGTTACACACCAAAATAAGTTCAGAAACACAAAAAAAATCTTCTCTTCAATGCAATTTCAAAACCGAAATAACACAATTCGCAATTCAAGTTCTCCTGCTAAACAATACTGAATCGAAATGGAATATACTAATGAGGTAAGGGCGAACTTTATCGAGCAAGAAGTTAGGGAACAAGTTGCTGTTGGTGAGGAAATGGCCGCAGCAAGGGCAATCGCTCTTGTTGCGGAGGTGAGTGATGATGCACATGTAGCAGAAGCTGTGGCCGCAAGCCGTTAGAAACGCGTCCTTGATGATCTGCATGCAAATCGGGCACAGGAAGTCCTTGTCCGGCTCCGACACAACTGCCGGAACACCATCACCGGAGGTTTCGGGGGCGAAAGTGGTGTCAGTGTCGACGGCGGAGGGTTTAGAAAGATCAGGTTTGACGGCGGGGACGAGAGGCCCCGCTGAGAGCTCTTCCATAGTGAGGAGGGGTTTTCTGAGTTTGGGATTCTGTAAAGAGAAAGAGAGAGTGTTTGTTTGATTTTCTTTTTTTCTTCTCGTATGGGTGTTGAGATTTGAGGAGGAGGAGAGTGGGGCCCAAAACTGTGTAATTGTGAGGGTGAGAGAACTCCACGTGATAGCTATGCCTGTAGCATGATGCTTCAAACCACGTCACAGAACGCCAACCTCTTGTGATAACAAGAAACAAGCATGTTTTACCGAAAATAAAAAATAAAATAAGAAACAAGTATTTACTTGTTGGCATTACTCTTTATTTTTTAAAAGATATAGAATTGTATTATTTTAGTCAAAATTATAATATTTTATATTGAGAAAAATAGTTACACAATAAAAATTATAGTAAGAGAAAGTAAAAAAAAAAAAATTTAAATATTATATAAAAAATTGTAATTAAAATGATTGCGATAAATAATTTTTTCTTATTTATTTATCCCTTAAAAAGGACAAACATTTCTCCCGGTTGCCTCGGCCTCTCTTTTTATTAATTTGGTTTTTTTGAAATCCTAACCTGAAAGGCGTTGCTCTTGCTTTATGTTGAGTTTTTCTCGTCCTCCGAGTCTTGTTGTTTATCATTATCTTTAGGCTCACTGACTTCTTTGATCAAGGTCGTCACCTTAGTTCTCTCCTTAGCTACCTCAATCATCTTACATCAATTAATAAGAGTTGTCAGGTTCCTGATCGTGTAGCCCACCAATGCCTCACCTAAGTCAAGGCGTAAGCCTCCCTCATTTTTAGTCGTCATCCACTCGTCGCCAAATTGCCCTAGGCCGAAGGAAGTGTACATGGCAAGTTCCTAAAACTTCATCATATCTCCCTACTCCAATGCCAAAAACTCATGTTCTTTTCTCTCGCACTCTACCCTGGGCAAGTACTTTTCCAAGAACACCTGCTCAAAAAGCTGCCAAGTGATTACCTAATTCTATTGCTACAACAGTCACATGTCTCCCTGCCACCACTCGTCAGCATCTCCCTGAAGCATATAAGTGGCAAAGTTCACTTTCTGATTGCCAGTGCACTCTATAACTCTGAAAATTTTATGCATGGCTTGTAACCATTTTGCCTCTGCCACCGGGTCATAAGCTCCATTGACCTCTGGGGGATTGTGCTTCCAAAAATCATTCAACTGCCTATGTTCTCCGGCATCTGCAAGGACCTCTAGTGTGTGTCCCAGTTTTTGATTCGACGAGCGAAATCAATGCATTTTGTTTGTTTTGTTAGGGTTCATATTGACCCATTTGTTATGCCTTGGAATTATGAACCCATTTTTTAAGATGGAACATTTTGTTTTAAATGTGAGGTGCTGATTTGAGTGTGTTTCTGAATCAAATGTAGCAATGACATCCAGATAGGTGGACAAGAACCCCTTCTTTACTAGATGAAGCCAACCTCAAATTCCAACAAATTCAAGAAACTTATTCAAGTATGGTTTCTTGGAATTCTTGCATTTTTTAAGACTTCAGGTTCTTGTTTCTGTTCTAGTTTCAAATTGAAAAAATAAAAATAAAAATATTGAGATTGTTGAATCTGGTTCTTTGCATTTTCTTGGAGCAAGATTTTGTTTTTCAAGTTGTTATTTTGCTTGTCAAGTGGTACTACATTGATTACATTTTCTCTGATTACTTTTATGTTTGCAGGAAAACTTTGCCAGTGGAGGAAATCTTAACAATTGAAATTAAACTCAGATGGAAAAAGGGGACAAGAATCACATTTCCAGAGAAAGGAAATGAACCAACCAAATGTTATTGTTGCAGATATTGTGTTTTTTTATTGATGAGAAACCTCACAGTGTGTTTACAAGGGATGGTAATGATTTGGTTGTGACAGAAAATAAACTGGCAATCCAATCATTGTAAAGTGAATCCTGTGTGTAGTCTTTATTTCTGTTTTGCTCTCTTTCTTAGTTTTCTTTCTCCTCTTCTATTTTAGATGGCTAAAATTTTTGTAGTTTGTGTGTATTATGTTATGTAGAGTCATCCACTCAAATAAAATCCAAAAATCTTTAGTTGAAGATTAAGGTGTAACATACTGAATTACAGTAGTTAAGGAGTGATAGCTACATAACTTTTGGAAATGAGTTGGCTCCGTTAAGATAAATCAATCCAGTACCTTTTTCCAGTAGCTATTTGTTGGATTGGTGATCTTATATACTCCCCCCCCCCCCCCCCACGTTGATCATAAGTTTTTTGTATTATGAACATTGTCCTTATTTGTCATAAAGCAAAATCATGAAGCAGGTAACCTATCGGAATTTTTGATTTTTCAGACTTCTACATTCAAGTAGTCCCATTATAAATTAAGTGGAACTCGAATGCTTAGAACTTCTACCATCAAATAACTCCAATTATATAATATAGATATAATGCTTTAACACATTGCAGAATTTTACTCTTGAAGTGCTGTGAAAACATAGTTGATTTTTGGCCCGCGGGGTTATACGATTTTTTGGTACGTGCGGGCTTTTTAGCCCTAGCCCGCGCAGGCTAGGGCCTAATGGGGCCGGGCTGGCTCGTTTTGACAACTCTACCAGCCAATCCACACACATTGCATTGCATCAACAATCAATTTTTCAAGGACAGAGAAATGGGTGTCTCAAGCAAAGTACTTACTTGGCAGTGAAGATGAAGTTTTCTTGGGCTTTTTCCTTTCTTCCCTCCTTGCCCCTCTTTCTCTTGACAATATTTCCAGCAATTACAAACGCAAGTGCAAAGATGGTGGTGAGATGAGAGTTCTGTCCTTTGTCACAAGTGAAGTGAAATTGCTTCTTAGGAAGAAAATAAACAAAAGAAAGGAATAAAGAAAAGTTTCATATATTGGTGTTGGTTCAAGAAATGTGAAGATGAGGAATTTGGGAAGCAGTGGTAGACGTATCAAATTTTATTTATGTCTGTACACTTAGTGGCTGAGTGTTGCCCCCGAAAAAAAAAATTTAAAGAAATTTTTAAATGCATTAAAAAATAAAAGAATGTAAACAATAAGAGAGAAAAAAACTATTCACATATATCAAGTTTTGTTGTTTTACGCATATTTTATTTTTTGTAAATGTTATTTCAAGTGAGAGTAAAGTACTTTTTGAGTCATCAACAAATATCACTGGCCCAACTTAATCCCTTTGAAAAAAAAGTTCATTTGTGGTCCCTCTAAAATTTAAAATAGACCCATGTTAGTCCTTTTGAGACTAATGTGTGTCTTCTTTGAATTTCAGAGAGATTACGATTTCGACTAATTGTGTCTATTTTGAATTTCAGACAGACCACGAGTCGATTTTTTTTTCCTAAGGGATTAAAATGGATCTTATGAATTTTGTTGAGGACTTAAAAGGTACTTTACTCTTCAAGCTATTAAAAAAAAATGTTATTTCAAGCTATTCATATAGCAAATTTTGCAATAGTAGAGATGACTCACCAACTATTCATATATATTGGGAAGGAAAAAGGCTAGGTTTCGGTTATCATAAAAGAAGGGAAAGCTCAAGTAATGAAGTAGGCAGAGAAATGATAAGAAAAGAGAGAGAGATGGGAGGTCTTCCATGAGAGTTGTTGGAAAAAAAAAAATATGGCCTAGATCTTTTAAGGCTGACTGATTTTTAACAACATGTAATCATTAAGAAAGGATAAGCCAACTTTGGGTGCACTTTTTTTTTTTCTTTTTGTTGTTACATTGGGGTGTACATTTTATGGTTGATGAATAGGAATATTATGAAAGCTATTATAAAATTGGAATATAATTAAGTAATAAAAGCCTTAGTAGAGCATGAGGGTTTCGACTTTCACGGCCTTGTGCTGAGTAGGGAGAGGAATCGTAAGTTGTAACTATGCCACGCCCGAGAATTTTAGTAATTAAGTAAAATAGTCGATAAGAGTTACAGCTGGTTAGAATAAATTAGGAAATTACCAGAAGAATTAATGTCTTTGGTTGTATGCATAGATTTTTTTTACATAATTGGTTCTTAGATTAAGAAAGAGTGTCATTACTCTCTCTTGTTTGATTACTCTTTATAATTGTCACCTTTAAGAGTTTCTTCTCTTCATAGTTCATACTGAAAGGTGAGATTGATGAGATCGTGGCCGATATATATTGAAGAGAGTAGAAAAAACAAGTCGCCTGAAAAGCCTGCCTGTGCGAAGGATTCATCAATTGAGGAAGCAAAGGTTTTTGTCATGTAACTTTATTTTCTTCTTTCATTAATTTCTTTGTCCTTTTATCAATCTATTGAAGATATATACATATATGCCTGCATATTATCATAGTCCATAGACATACTTATTATAACCGCTCAATTTTACGATTCAAATCCTGCAATTTGATATGAAGCTAGGAGCCATCGGTTTATATCATGCAATGAATTAGATATGATTTTAAATTATATGGTACATGCATGAATATATAGGTGGAATTTCATATCATTCATATAAATCGAACGATTTAATCATTTGTCAATTTATTTTCATGAATCTTCCTGAAAGAAATTAAAAAATCAAACAAATTTAATGCATAAAATGAAAAGAAATTAAAGGAGTATTATTAGATGCTCTCCGTGATAGCGGTAATAGCAGCGTGATAATGTTGTGATTGCAATAACGGTAATGAATCTAGTGATTGAAAGGGAGAATGAAAATATTACGCAAATAAGTTAAAAGAAAATAAAAAATATATATATATTCTCCTTTTTTTAATTCTAAATTTATATTTTTTTAAATAATTTTTGAAAACGATTAAATAAAAACTTAAATAAGTACCTAATTAATTTTTTTTTGTAATTTTTGTTCTTAAAATAACAATTATTTTAAAAATACTAATAAAATAAATCCTATAATTTTCTTTTTTGTATTTTTTTAATATTTATACAAAGAATACTACTTTTTTTTTACTTGATTTGGTGCAGATGTAATCGACAAAGCAATACAATTTTAATAGATTATTATGTTTTTCTTGTGATACTGATTTTTAATTTTTTTTAGATCATTCGATATTTTTTTGTTTAATTCTTTTAAATCCAGCTCTATTTTATTATTTTAATAAATTACAATATATATTTATGATTAAAATATTTATGTTCCTTAATTTTATTATATTACATTTTTTATAAATTATAAAAACAACTTTAATCAATCAGAATTAATTTCCATAATTGAAACATCATTGTAAGCTTTTAATATATTATATTCTTTTTAATCTATCAAATTTAATTTTCATATGCGAAAATTTTATCAATGTCTCGTGTTTAGGAAAAATTTTAAGTTTGAATCTTATGAATAGAAAAAATAATTCTAAAAAAAATTTGTCCGCATAAATGGAAAATATCTTTAGTACTCCATAGTACTGAAGGCAGTGTACATCTTTTATTAAATTTGGTAAAAAATAATAGAACCAACTGTTCTTAATTTACCCATAAAATTATTGATAATGTCCCATATTTTCTTATTTTTAGTAAAGGAATCTATACTCCAATAGTAGCAAACATGTGCTCGCAAAAATGAATATAGTTTAGTTGGAATATATTCAATGTAATTTGAGCTATTAACATCACACCAAAAACTGAAAACATTTTCCTTTGATTTAATAATTTTTGTATTCAATTGGTATTTTTCTTTAATTAATTTTTTATACCAACATGTATTACATTTATCATTATAAAAATACTAATGTCATAGGCCTTTTTACTTTGGGTAACTTACATCCCAATTTCAATCAATTTTCTTTCATTCATGCTTATTAAATGGTCTACAATATATACATCAATTAAAAAAAATTGTGAGTGAATTTTTGGTTTAAGTTTAAAGTCTTAATTCCGGGACCCGCCCTGAATCGAATTAGTCGAGAAACGATGAACCGATTGAAATATTTTTTTTCTAAATATTATAATATTAATATCATCGTAAAACATGTTAAAGAGAAAATATGTTCGTAGAGTAAATAAGAGCACAAAAAATTGAAAAAATAATTAATCACTGAAGGTACACGTACCCAATAAGAAAGAAAACTTCGTTTTTACACGCTTGTCCACAAAGTACATTGCTTCCTAATTCATCTTTGTCAAACAATTTAGTACAATACAACAAAAAATGTTTCGGAATATATATTTGGATCATTCCCTACAAGATAGAGTTATTCTATATATATATCTACCTATATTTTACCAACTTCAACAACCTGAATAATGCTCCGCGGAGAGTAATCTAAATGAAGCAAAGGTGGGAGCTCATCATTCATTTAAATATGTCGAAGCTTAAAAAGCTTTCTAATTTGTATGCCTTGTCTTAAATGATCTAGCGCATAACGCAACTCTGTTTATGTTACGTGAGGATTGGGGATAAGCATTTCTTACCCAAAATAGATTGAGCCACAAAGCTCTCTCTCACACAGCGTCACTCTTATTATATTCATAGTAGAAATACGAAATTAAAAGTAGCTAAAGTCTTATGATTTCTCTATGGAGAAACATGTCCTATAGGATTAAGAAAGGCTAAATACTTCGTAACTCAAAATAGAAAACATGCAGAACTAGTGCATAAAGTGTCAAATAAGGAAAAAAATTTAGTAGTCATGTCCTCGTGTGGTCCTTCCATTGAGACATTGACACTTTATAATTTTTTTTTTTTTACTCTCTCCTCTCTCCGGGCTAATTGTCACATCTTTATTGGTTTAGACCACTGAAAATTTGATGTTCCCCGAGCACCAAAACTCTTCTCATCAAATAAGGTACATGAACTTTCACTGGCCTACATAAAGCAATATTGTTATCATGTCCTTACTTATAAATACTAGCTAGCACCCCTAGTGATGCATTGAACAGACCAAGCTGCAACTATGAAGTGTTTCTGTGTGATCTCCTCTTGCTTCCTTCTCTGTCTCTGTATTCAAAGGTATGTCATCCTTCATCTTGATATCTATATAACATCTTGCTTTATTTTCAATATCATCATTCAGTTGCTTGAGTTTTAGCTAGCTGCATGTTGTCTTGAAGACATAGTAAGAAACTGCATAGGTTATTTCGAGCTTTTCTCTATCTTTATAAATGGTTTTTTTATATGTTATCAGAGTTATCCAAAGAAAAGAAAGAGAGAGAGAGTAAAATTTAGGCTTCTGGATATTAATGGGTGGAATAGGATAGAAACCGGTGGAATGGGATCGAGTGATATGGAATAAAATTACCGTACCATTGTTTAGATGTCTTACTAGTTTTTATAAAGTGGACTTAACGTTAGGAAATTTATGAATAATAAGTTGGTTGCATCTTATTCCACCTCATATTCTCCAAATTGGGAGCAAGAAAAATGGAGGCATTAGATAAAATGGAACGGAATACATTCCATGAGGTTGCTTTTCATTCCATCCCTTTTTATCAATTTAATCATGGGAAGGATCCCTTTACAATAAAAAAATTTCATAAATTATATTAAGTATGACCGGTCATACACTTTTGATTGAAATATGACCAGTCAGTTTGTAAGAGTTTATAAACAAAAAATTTATAAATATAACATTCTCCTTTCATCGTAGCATTACTTCAAATATAATAATAAAAAAATATAATATAAAATTATTAATATGATATGTATCTCAACATCAACACCATTTAAGCCAAGTTAATTGGGGTTGGATATATCCTTAAAAAAAAATTATTGAATTAATTATTTTTCCTGATATCAGTTGTGATCAAAACATCACGAGTTCATTTCTTATCACCTTATTCTATCCATAAATAATTAAAGGGACTTATTAATTTCATGTTGTTGGAGTTATCTTGTTTCATGTTGTTGAGATAAACGTGTGAGTCCCTTTATTTTTATTTTTTTATAAAAGGTGGACCCTACATGCTTATCTCTATGACATAAGACAAGATATCTCGCACAATATTAAAAAATATTTTTTCATAATTATATAAGGCTTTATTAATCTTATATTGTAAGAGAGTAATTCTCCCTCACCATAGACACAATCAATATCATGGGTGAAACTCGTTCATTTATAAAAAAAAATAAAAATTGAAGTATATGAAAATCCATAGATGTGTAAGAAAGAGAGTTACTCTTCAACAACATAGTTTTTCCCGATTATATATTATGAAATTTTTTGACACTAGTCCAACCATTCTTCAGTCAACCTTTCTCCATCAGTTTAAATTTTTGAGTTAAAATGAGTATTCCTTTCCTTTCATTTTATCTCTTGCTTCTTTCTTCATCTAGGATTTGGACATCACTTCCCTGTTCACCTGTTATGTCATTAATCATTTACGAAATCAGACAAATACATAAATTCTGCCCAATCATCATGTTATTTCTCGGTCTTTTGTCGAAGCACCTGGATCGATTTCATAAGATCATTTTACCAAATTTACAAGTATAAATGCAAGCCAAAAAAATGAATATTTGATCATGTTAATGATTGTTGATTCCAGCGTTTCATCCCAAAATGCTATCTTCCCTCCAAGGGGTTGGAATTCCTACGACTCCTTTAGCTGGGTAATTTCTGAAAAAGAATATTTACAGAATGCTGATATAATTTCTCAGCGTCTCCTTGTTCATGGATATCAGGTATAGTACTAATGCTTCTGAATTACAGTTCATTTGAATATGTTAATTAATGTATGGATATAATATATTTCCTTGAAACCATGTAGTATGCTGTTGTGGATTACCTCTGGTATAGGAGTCTCAAGGGTGGTAATAATTCTCTTGGTTTTGATACCATTGATAAATGGGGGCGATTGCTCCCTGACCCTGAAAGGTGGCCTTCTTCAAGTGAAGGCAGAGGGTTCATTGAAGTAGCTGATAAAGTACATAGCATGGGTTTAAAGTTTGGGGTTCATCTTATGGCTGGAATCAGTACACAAGCATTCAATAACAACACGCCTATACTGGATACAACAACGGTACTGATTCTTATATTCCCACAACTTTGTTTGATAAACTCTGGTCATATATTAAAATTGGTATTTAATTATAATGTTGTCAAATTTAAATTTTATGCGTTATAAATGTCATTAGTTTTATCCCATATTGGGGTATGTGTAATGTGTACCCATCAAATTTTTGTTGATCTTTGATTTTTACCTCCTGCAACTTTTGCTAGGGACAAGCTTATGAGGAGTCTGGTCGATTGTGGCACGCAAAAGACATTGGAATCCCAGCAAGGGCTTGTGAATGGATGACTAATGGTTTCATGGCTATAAATGCAACAAATGGAGCTGGAAAAGCCTTTTTGAGATCAATTTATGAGCTTTATGCTTCATGGGGAGTTGATTTTGGTACTCTGACTACTCAAATATATTCTGCTTAACATGCACTGTCACAAAATATGCAATATATATATAATGTCCTAGATTAGCCATCAATCATTATGTTTCTAAATAAGCAGTTCTGCGTGTATTTTTCTTGTTGCTTTGATTTCATATGGATTTTCTGCTTTCCTTGCAGTGAAACTTGACTGTGTGTTTGGTGCTGACTTGGATTTGGATGAAATAACTTCTGTATCACAGGTACAGTGCAATTTCCTCTCCCTTTCTGTCCTTTCCATTTTAAAGGTGAGACATGGAAAGATTTATGGTTTGACTTGCCATCTACAGATTCTCAAGGACCTTAATCACTCCATTGTACTTTCTCTGTCTCCTGGAGTCGGAGCAACACCAGACATGGCTAAGGCAATCAGTGGACTAGTTAACACATACCGTATAACAGGAGATGACTGGGATGAATGGCCAGCAATCTTGGCTCACTTTAATGTATCGAGGTGATTATAAATTACTACGTTTGACTTCAAAATGTGTATTGCTCTTCCTTCTGTCTTCTGTTACTCTAACATCAAATGATCTATAACTTTGATTCATTTAATTTATCTTTCAGGGATTTTGCTGCAGCTAAGTTGATTGGAGTAGAAGGTTTAAAGGGAAATTCATGGCCTGATTTGGATATGCTACCATTTGGATGGCTAACTGATCCAGGTTATAAGCCGAGTTACATTTTTCCTTTAATTCTTGGGACCAGGCTAGTTAAGGCATTCCAAACAGTACAGCTTTATATTCCAATGCATGGTAATATTCAATGAAAATATGTTTTTTTAACTACCAAGTGGCAACGGGGTTGGTTCAGTTGGTAAGTTTCGAAAGACTTGGGTTCTAATATTAAGATTCATGTTTGAATTTGTTTTTACTTTCTGAATCATTAGAAATTTGAAAAAGTTGTTTTCAGTTTCATCCCATATCATACTCGTAATTGCGATGAGTTGTTTGAATTTTAGATGTTTAGGAATATAGATAATAAAACTACCCTTTGATTTTTATTTTTATTTTCTGCTCTTTTTCTCAATAGGGGTCAATGAAGGTCCACACAGGTTTTCCAGGCTTAGTCAAGAAGAGAAAAGAACTCAGGTTTATATGCACAAACACTAAACTGAATTGCATTACTATGTTGGAGTGGACATGAATAAATCAATAGATTCTAAGTAATTAAACTTATTTCGCCAGATGACTTTGGGATGTATGGCAAAGTCTCCCATTATGTATGGAGGGGATCTACGAAAGCTTGATAAGTGGACCTATCATCTCATCACAAATCCTACCCTTTTGGAGATAAACTCGTTTAGCTCAAATAATACGGAGGCATGTAAACCTTCTGTCTTGTTTTCTTTTTTCTTGGTAATCATATGTTTTTTAAATCTTAGATCGGTATTGTTTCTGCTATTTTTACAGTTTCCTTATATCACAAGATTAAACGATGTCAAGATTGAAGGACAGGATGTAAAAAAAGTACCATTTACTCATTCATTAGCTCTTACTGGATGCACTGATCCAAAAGCAAGTGGTTGGTCTAGTGAAAAGTATAACCAAGATCTTGAAAGAATCTGTTATAGAAAGAATCAGGAGGAACCTTTCTGTCTACACAAGAAAGAACTTCTGTAATCATGCTTTACCCTTCTTCAATCTATTTGTCCAAATTTGTTCCCATTATTTGTACTAAACTGTAGTATTGCTGCGGATGCAGAGATGAAAGAAGTATGTATAAAGGGAAACTTCAGTTAATGGTTATAAACAGAAAGCAATTTTACTTGGACGCTTATCCAAAAAGAACACTTAGTAATCAAGAGGTCAAAAAAGAAGGTCCATTTTCTCCATGCAAATTTGAAGCAAGTCAGGTACGTTGCAGTGTGTATTCCATTTGCATATATAGCATATGCCACCATGTGTATTGGAAGCTGATCTATACAATCTGAACAGATGTGGGAGTTAAAATCTAATGGGACTCTGATTAACAGTCATTCCGGCATGTGTGCAACAGTAGAATATGTTCAAGGTAAAAATCAGTAGAAAATAGTTATCTCAATGCAATTGCAGAATTATTGAATTGTATGTTTAAGTTCTCTCTTTCATTTTTTTTGTTTTTCTTCAATAATGCAAGTTGACTAATCATGCAGATGAAGGTTATGCTAATGGGATTCGATCTTGGGTTGCAACTGGAAGAAAAGGTCTGATGCTAGCCATCCTAACTTCATATATTAAAATAAGAATAATGAGAATATTCCAATTTAATATTTCTGTTGTACCAAATTGAGATGCACTGAAATTAACACTGTCCTATAACTTGATTTTATTGTTACTTTTGCATTCAGGGGAGACATATGTTGCTTTTTTCAATCTAAATGATGAGAAGACAACAATATCTGCAAAAATTGGAGACTTGGCTAGTGTGCTTCCGGGTAGAAAGTTGAGAGGTTGCATGGGAAGGGATATGTGGAGTGGAAGGACCATACAAATAAACGAGATGTTATCAGCGAAGGTAGCAAGGCATGGATGCGCATTATTTGTACTCAATTCATGTTGACTTTGACCCAAAATCTTATTTAAACATGAGGAAGGATCCGTTTACAATTTTTTTTACAAATTACACTGAGTATAACCGGTCATACACTTTTGATTAAAGTATGACCGGTGAGATGTAGTGTAGTTTGTAAGAGTTTGTAAATATAACATTTCCCTTTAAATATATATAATTTATAGTTTCATATTTCAAGTTGGATTCATATTTTGTTTTATTTAGCGGTAGAAAAATAAAGTCAATCCTTAGTCAATAAGGATGTTGAGAGCAATTACTTGCTGAATAATTTTTGATAAAACTCTAGTCAAAATACATGTTTGCTGTACAGTTTTGCTAGTTTCTTGATGCAGGCTTGTACTCTTTGAATAATTTTTTGTTGCTACCTAAATATTTTGACTCATCCAAGAAAACACAAGGTTAAATGTAGTTGCAGTGCAGTAACTATACAAAATGCCAAATAAATTTAAAACAGTTATCAATTCTTTCTTTCTTTTTTACTTTATTAAATTTAACCTCTCCCACTCCCACTCCCTTGAAATTTCATGTTTGTAGTATTCAACACATTTATCCATAACCCTAGGGTCTTTTGGAAGCCTTGTCAAACACCTCCCCATTTCCCACATTGTTCTGAATTCAGGCTCCACCATTTAAAAGATAAAGGCCACTCCCTCAGTAAGTGACTAAGGGTTTATGGGTAAAATAGGCGCAAGTGGGACTGGTCCAAGGGGCTGGTCCAAATTAATCTACTGATCCATCACATTATAAAATTTTAATATTAGGTTGCATTTACTATTTAGTCATTTAGTGTGATATTATATAAGATATTTTTTTATTATAAAATATTACTATTTTATTATTTTATATTCAATCATATATTTTACAATATTATATTAGATAAATATTAATATTTTTGTAAAAATCTCTTTATTAAAAAATATACACAATTCATTTAAATTTATGTTATATTAACTTTTAAAAAACATAAGTTTCAATGTCTTAAAAAAAACTGATGACCATTAGGTATTAATAAAAATATATAGAAATTAATAAAATTAGATGCAATATACACTGTAGGCAACAATTCTTTAAGATTTCCCCATACCATTCACCCCTCTCATTGGCGAAATCACCTACTTTTTATGGCTTTTAGCCACAAAACACCTTCCTATCAATTTTGAACTCTCAAAAAAGATATTTTTTTATTTTCCTTTTCCTTATTTTATTTCCGATCTCTTATTTATCTGTCACTCAATCATAATAATGACTCTTCTGTCATAAACCAATTCCATAAGCCTATTTTCGACATGTACAAACACAGGGCATGTTTGGTGAACAAGATAACGAGAATATATATTGTATTCTTATTCATTGTTTGGTGAACTAACAAGATACGATAAGCTTATTCTATTTACTCATTTTATCATATCCGCAATAGAATAATCTATCCTAAGAGGGAATGCGGGTTAGGAATAGACATTAATAAAATCCGCGATATGATAACACATATCACATCTCTCTCATTTCGAATATAATCTTATGTTCTTTCACTACAAATATTATTGGGCACGTGAGGGTTATCCCTTGCCATCGACCAGTTATCACTGCGCCAGTCATCAACCTCCTCTACCATCTACTACCACCACCACCATCGTCACCGACCATCACGATGAGCTACCAGCCACCACCATTGTCACCGGCTACAATCACTCCCAACCATCAACCACCAAACACCAAGTACCTGCCACCACTGATTAGCTCCACAATTGCCCCCACCCACCACCGCCACTATTGTCACTAGCTACCGGCCACCAATATTAACCATCAATTTAAAACTCAATTGGTGAGGATATATTTTTTAATATTTTAAAAGAATTTGATAGTTATTTATGTATTTTAATATAATTTATTTAAAATTATGACTTTTAATCTTTTTTATTAATTTAAAATAAGAAATAACATGTAAATAAGTAAAAAAATTAATTTAAGAATCAATTTTAAAAAATCATATAAAATTATGTTAAAAGGATATTTTTGTCTATTTATATCATATCATGACTCTATATAGTTCGCCTTCAATCACCAAATATGATAAATATTATCTTATCAGAATGCTTATCATATACATATCAAACACAGTATAGGAAATGAGCTTATAAGCCTCATATCCAATCATATTCTTATCTATCCCTCATATCGTATCTATTCATATCATATCCACCAAACGAGCCCTAAGTTTATATTACATGGATTACATATAGGGAAAAAAGACTATCATTTAAAAGGACACAAGTTGTGTCCTTTTAGATGATTTACACAAAGTATGACCGGCCATACTTTATGTAAATCTGAAAAGCTGTTTTTTTTTTCTCTCCTCAGTCATATCGCTGACATGTAAAGTGAAAAAAAGAAACTTTTCAGAATTACACAGAATATGACCAGTCATACTCTGTATAAGTCACTAAAAGGACACAACTTGTGTCATTTTGAATGACACACACTAAACCCTTACATATATTACATTTTCCTTTATCCTAACCCTTTTCCGCAAATAAATGAGTATTTATCAACAGAAACCCAGTATAGTAGCAGCCCATAACAGGTTTTGCATGGAGGAAAAAAATAAGGAATTCATAAATGTTTCTGAACTAGTAAAAGAAAAAAATTGAATTATTTCATATGTATCATTTTATTTGTGTGAGTTATTATTGTGTGCTATTAAAACAATATTTTTAATATTATAATTATCTTTATATATTAAGAAATATAAACTAAGAATTTTTTCTCATCTCAAAATTATCAACGAATTATTTTTTTTCTTTAAAAAAAAATCAGCTGAATAAGACTAGCCAACCCGGATGCGCGTAGCCGCATGCTGCACAAACTACCAAAAGTGGAGTATCTACCTTTTTCTTTATGCTGGCATGTGCGGTACCATTCATATTAGGATTGTTGTTAGTACTGTGCAATCTATGGGCTTAGGTAAACCCTCGGATTTTTGGGCTTACCTTAATGTGGACCCTAAATTTGGCTCATTTTCAAGAGCATTTCTGGTCCATACACTTCTTTGCTTCACGATAACTGAGAAGTTTCATTCTCGTTCTGTGTTCTTTTCATTTCTTTTTTTATTTATTTATTTTTAGAAGTAGAATATTCATACTATCAATTATTTCTACTGCCACTCTAATATAACTATGTATTCTGGGAAATAAATTAAAAGTTATTTTTTTTTCTCTCTTTAAAAACTTTTTAGAGATTATAGGTTAAAAAGTAGAATCTAACAGTAATTAAAATGATAAGAAATTAATAATAAAAATAATTGATAGTATGAATATATATCTCACTTTCTGAACCCTTCTCTTTTTCTTTCGCTTCGACCATACTAGATATTAAAAAAAATAAAAATCTCAAACATTACAATTAGATGACAGAATCACATTTGGGATTGGGACTACAAACATGGTTAGAAAATTAGACCAGCGTTGTTGGCAATTTTGAAGCACGATAAATTTTGCATCAAAAGCGTAGTTTTGATGCCTAACTTTTATGGTCAAAAAATTTCAACTATATGTATATTTAAAAAAAATTATAATTTAATATCAGAGATGAGTTACGTTTATAGTTTTTTTTATTTATAACTCTTACAACCTCAACAGTGTACTACCAGAAATATAAATACTTGAGAGTATATTTTTCGAATTACATAATTGTAGTTGTAGGAATTGTGAACAAGAAAAGTTATGAACGTAATATGTCACTTAATATTATGCTAATGCTTTAATCATATTTAAATATTTGCATTAAAAATTATTAATCTAAAAGTTCAAATTGTTTTTATCACGACCACTTTTGAAATATAAAGTTATAAACAAATTTTCATTTATAAATTCATTTTTTAACAAAATTAAATTAAAGTTGGTAAATTTTAATTTAAATACACCTTGAATGGTCGGACAATATTCCGATGAGATGAGTCATAAGTAGGACCAGTTTTTCCATGGAATCCAAATATTTCTCTTTCTCAGAGATTTTGATTAGCGTTTGGATGCGAAGTTTCTCTTTCAGTATATATGTTGGTATTTGAGGGTAAGGTGTGACCATATGGGACGCCGCCGGGAACTTTATTCCATGACCCCATTTTATTAATTGTTGTGGCCTTGAAAGTCAATGATTATTACTCATCGTGTAGGCACTCCTCAAGTTGGTGCTGTATGTCACAGGTACATCATTCAAAGTTTACTGCATACAACCTACCCTTTCCTCATGCTAACCATAATGGTAATGTGAACTTAATGCACAAAAAGGAGAATGTGCCTAATTTTGAGGGAGAATATCAAAAAATTAATATAAATTATTAAAAATGAATTCATCCAATATCTTAAGATTTTGGGTCAAGGTAATTATTTGCACGAAAAAAAGACTTTTTTATTTTCCTAAATATAACTCTTCTTATTTTATTTTCTCAAATACACCATTTTTATGCATTGAAAAAATCGATTCTTCTTAAGAGTTTTTTTTGCCTTCGAGAGCACCGTGCTCCTTTTTAAAAATAAAAAATGAAAATAATTTGAAAGAAATTATGAAAAAAAATGACAAAATTTTAATGGAATCATTTTTTTTTCATTTTAATAAAAAAAATACCTAATTTTCAGTGACCATGGAGTCGAATAAATCTTTAGTACTACCGCTGTATTTAGATTCAGTGCATCTCATCAATGAAAGCATTACAAATCAGAGGAGAGAAAAAAAATCTGACAGAAAAAATAAAATTTTAACTAACATGTAATATTTTCATTGATGAAATATACTGAACCTTTAGTATAGCAGTAATACCAAATATTTATTCCATTAAGTGTACCACCGAAAATTTTCTCGTTCCCGTCAAGCCCACTTATCATTTCTCATTGTTTTTTTTTTTTTTTTAAGATGTTAAAAATTCAATTTTTCAGAATCATAAAAAAACATGTTAAATATTTGATTGCGTTCTATTTTTTTTCTTCTTAAAATTATTTTGTAAAATAATTAAATTAATAGGTGCTTTCTGTATTTTTTGTAATTTTTTAAAGTTAAAAATCAAAATATAAAACAAAAATAATACAGATATATTTTTAAAATTTGATTTTAAAAACTAAAAAACAATTATAATTTTTAGAATTATATTTACAAAACAAGCATTGTAATTTTATTTTATTTTCTAAAAATTAAAAAATTATTTTTGAGAACTAAATTCATACATGACCTAAGTATCTATCTTTTGAAGGCAAGTGTATTTTCTAGAGAAGTACTAGTTATTAATTAGAAGTTAACATTACTCAAATTCTAATGTAGCGTCTAGTCTGTTCATTGCGACGTTAATGAAAACTTAAAA